TATACATATATGTGTGTGTGTGTGTGTATGTGTGTCTGTTTCTGTGTGTGTCTTTGTGTTTGCTTGTTTGTGTGTGTGTGTCTTTTTTCTGTGTGTCAGTGTGTTTTTGTGTCTGTGTACCCACGTAGGTATGTATGTATGTATATATGTTGTATATCGATGTGTGTATATATATATGTGTGCTTATTTATATATATATATATGTATTTGCATCATAGATACATATGTTTGTTTAATATAAATGTATACGTATATATTCATGTATACATATTATTGTATATTGTATATAAATATGTGTGTGTGTATGCGTGTGCGTCGTGTGTGTATGTGTATGTATGTATATATATATATGTGTGTGTGTGTGTACTCATGTATATGTATATGTATATTTTGATATATATGTGTGTGTGTATGAGTGTGTATGAGTGTGTTGGTGTGGTTATGGGTGTATGTATGTATGTATGTATGTACGTATGTGTTTATATATATATATATAGGTGGGGGGGGTTCATTTGAGTGTGTTTGTTTGTGGCTGAGTGTACATGCGTGTGCTCATATATTTCTTCTTCTTATATAGCTAATGACTGTGTGGGTTCGATTTGGTTCCAAATTGTCATCCACTCCTTTTGCCTCGAAATTTCGCTGCTCTTGTCCATGTTTAGCATATGGAACGGGCTCATAAATAGTAAACTACTAGCAACTAAGCTTCATTCAACCTACCAAAATACCAATGAAGTACGTTGTTTTCAGTCTACGGAACCTAGATCACTGCAATCTCTGAGACAGATGTGAGTACGCAACCCGTATATGCTTGGACATACTCGCTTTAAGCAAGTACATATACACTAGATGGATACAGTCATTCGTTTGAATTAGTATTCCCGCTCTCTAATTATAAAACGATGTGGCTAGTTTGATTTGTGAATGTGCAGTAGGATTGACTATGTAAATACAATGCGAATGGATCATAATGGTATTAAAGTGTTTCATGTCTGCGAGTCGGTCTCATTCTGTTTTCCAATATATGCGTCTATGTAGAAACGGACAATTTTCTAGACCGCGGGAACCCCTTAACTGAGATTGACGATGAATATAAAGCTTGTTACCGATCGAGTTTTTCTTTGCTCACGCCTTCTTCAGTCGATTATGCTGTGAATTAAAGCAACAGACTTGACTGAAAGATTGGTTTTGAATTGCAAACACAGCTATACACAGCCGCAACGTGTGCGCTTCAGCACGAAACCGCCGGTAAACTGAAAACAAGGCGCCTACACAGTGAGATCGTATTCTGCATGTCCCCTTCTGGAAACGTTAATGGTATGCGATGTTTATTTGCTTTTGTACGTTCTCATCGAAAGTGTTCTCGTTCCAGGCGGCGTTACTATCATCGCGATAACATCTATGGTTGTTCTTTCAAATCATTTACAACAGACTCGCTGATAAAATGTGGGATTACGCCTGATACCACTGCTTTTGTTTTGATGGCTGTGGATGCTGATGAGAAAGCATATAATGCGCTATTGGATACAATACAGGTGAGCTACACTTCGCATAACTTTTGCGTATTTGCTGCTTGGGATGCTTCTGCATACCTTCCTGACCGCCTGCTAATGTTTATCGCGATTATTTACTGTGCTGATCGCATCTTTCATATCTGCCTTACAGGGTCGTAAATTGGTGGTTTCGGCCGAGACATTAGTAGATTACGCCAAGTATGATCATATCAACAGTGTATACAAATTAGACAAATTAAATGCTACATTCAATGGACAGGATGCGATATCATTGCAATCTGATCAGAGTATCTGCAACCTAGCTGGAATGGTAGTTTCAAAAATAGCCTGCCAAGATATGGTGTAATAAATCTTGTATCTCATATTTCTGTCAGTTTCCCGCTCTCGGTTCCCACGATAAACAACTATTTTAATATTGGGTTACATTTTTGTTGACTGTTGAATTTCAGTGATTTTGAACAACATTACACATACATACGTACATAATCTGGTATATCAGTGCAAATAATGATCTGGTAAAATGAAGATTTTGAATGTGCAGCCAATAAGCTAGAAATAATAGTTTCAATTCTAAGCCATTGAATCGAGAAAAAAGACGGAAATTGAAACTGTATTCAGGATCGACTGGCAATGCCGAGATAACTGATTTTTATTTCGAAATTCTAAAATTACCTGTATAGCTGAAGTTGTCGCTATTTCGAGTATTGCCACCAGCTCAACTTATTATATCACTGACTCTGTTGATCCAGATACTATATAAATGTAGCGACAAGATGCTATTTGACACCGTAAACTATGTGCGAATTAGCAAGAATACACTCTGGTTGTGCTGCGTATTGTATACCTCTGCAGATTCCATTGTTTATATCCACGGTCGAGCAAACTTTTCAGTTGCTTCGAGATTCTGTAGTTCTATTTGATGCATACGCGTCGTATATTGTAAATATTTTTAGACGATATCAACGATCTATAGAAGTGAGTGCAGATACTCTTCGACTTTATAAAAGATTACGCCATTCGCCAGCCGCTAAGATCCTTATAGGCTTCACAGTACGGCGTCAAATAGTTGGAGTGTCTGCAAACATTACTTTGTTCCAAACCTCATTGTGGCAGGTGAACCTCTGAATACAAATATTTCGAAGTGATACATTCATATTACGCAATTTAATATACAAGGTAAAGCGGTGATTTTCTGCGTGCGCTAGGGTCTTTCAGCCTGGCGTATGAACGGTTGTCCTGTACTGTTCACCCTTTAATCAACCAAGTGAAATTTGACTTGTGCCTAGCCGACAAATAACAGTAAGCGCTTTCACTTTGCAGCTATTCCCTTGAATCTAATATACGCATGTAATTCCTGTACTGCCAATTCAAACCCAGTTGGTATGTACTCAATATATATTTGAGCGGTCAAAAATAGACTTTTTAACCCCAATATCAATCATTGGATCTAAACTCTATGTATTGTGAATGAAGAGCACTTCGACCCTGAACCATAAATGGATAAAACTACTGAGTGCTGTAAAAGTGAAGTGTTGTGGATGTTGCAGCCGGGGTATGGGCGACTTAAATAAGTCGCCTTCTTCCTATTGATCATCGCGCGCCACCACACATGCCTAAAAATAATAAAACTTTCATTTTCATCATGTTTGCGTGTTAATACATACTTAGAATGTTTAATTTTGTCACCAGTGTTGAGTGGAACGATGTCAGCAAGGTGATTTTTAATGTGAGCATTGTGTTCGTTCCTGATTGTTGCTGCAGACCATTCCTGCCACTTTTGTGCTATCGGAAGCTGGTGCACAGTGCTCGCGGATGATATGTAACTGTTTAAGTTAGTCTGTCATTGATTTGAAAAGTGGAAACCAATGCCAGAGATGGTAGCAGGATTATGTATTGGTTCAGAAGCAAATACTGCAAAAATTGGTTCGCATCCAAAGTCTTTCGCTGTGTCATCGATAGTGCTATTTAATTCTGTGGAGCGAGAGGTGTGATGCTGAGTAAATATGGACATACTGCTGTCGTTGGAAACTGTAGGAAGCTAGACAACCAGAGACATTCAATTCTCTTTGCGCGCCTTGTCTATCGCATAGACATGTGTTTGCCGAAGTGTCTTTGAGTGAAGGAAGTATTTGTGTGGTATCAGATGCCATTGTGCTAGTTAATATAGGAAGTGGAGAATAACAGTACCTTGGGAAGACTTGAATACTGTTATGGGGCCCGTCATAGAGCGTTGGATAGCACGGACTCATTTCTCGATGTTTAAGGAATATTCGCAGTTGTAGCACGTGGGGCAAGAGTGGTTCAATAAGCAAAATGTTGCCTGTGAGGTCGCTGAACAAATGTGTTGCGTACTTCTTGCTGAATTGATGCTTGTGCCGACAGAATATCGCTGACATGTATTGGTGGTGGTGGGGCTAAGCTAGTGAATGAAGCTGTTAGTGGAGCTGATACGGTAGCGAGTGAAGCTGTTCGGTGGGACTGGTTCGTAGTGGTAAATAGAGAAGGATATGCGGTGGTAGCTGCTACGAATTATGTACAGAACGCACGAGGTATAGTAGCAGTAGTCTTGGTAATAAGACTGAATCAAACCTCTGGTTTCATATATCCAGATGGATTGTCAGATAGAGTTGCGCGCTTGCCAGTCTTATCCCACTGAAGAATCTAGTCGAAGAGGAAATCAATATTTCGTGTATTCATGAGCCTTCGGGTTGTAAAGTATTGCCCAAGCCAAGTGTGTGTCTGGTGTTGTGTCCGGTGTACGCCCAATGTGAACATCATTATCAACTTGTGGAGAATGTTTGTATCATGATGCGAGGGTAGATCAATCAAGCCTAAAGATTACTACACAAACATAGAGTGCCCATGGAAACCGCAGTACAGTGCGTTGGAACCATTTATCGACAGGTGGATCTAGGAATTCGCTAGCAGCAAGGTCCTCATATCGTACCATGTCATCCCAAGCTTCAACTTTACTCCACATTCCAATAGGTGAATTAGTTTCAAGTAGTAGTGAACGAATCAATTGGTTTAGAGTATCATGAGGATTTACAATTTTACCAATCAACTGCGGGGGGCTAGCAGGCGTTCGCTCCAAATCCATGTCTCGCGAGAGTAGCATGGAATGCATGTATTTTCTTTAAATACGTTGTCGCCCCTAGTAATCAATTCGGTTGAATTGTAGTGCGACAGTTTTTGCACCCAAAACAATCTTCAACAAAATTATTATTTTTTGCACTGTAGAGCGTTGTGTAGACCAAACTTCGTTCCATCGCAAAGCAGAATTAATGTATAACCCCTGTAAGTTTATATGGTATTCTTGGCCCGTCGACATTGCCAGAAGTAAAATGTCACTCATGTTTACGATTGAGTTTTGTAGCTGAAACACGTTTTGCCATGTTAAGTAATTTATGGATTGGCACGAGCAAATTCGATTTCGGCTTTTAAATTGGTATCGACATGAACAGCTGTACGCAGTGATGCAATTTCAGCTGCTATGGAATATATCAAGGTAGGTTTGCCAACCACGGTAGTACCATTGACGAGAGAAAGTGTTCTTTGTGCTTCATATGCAATATGGTGCAGTTTGTATGCGAGCAATAAACATGGGCCACCATTTGTTCGATTGATGTAATGGGACACAAATGGTTATCGTGCTGCCTGTAGTAATAGTGATGCGTACGAGGTCAAATATGTCAGACCATATGGGGTTCTCATAGCACCGTTTATGCAACTGACTAAAATGCCTCCCTCAGGACGAATAAATCGAGGTAATTGAGCATTAACCTTCGAAGCATGTATTTCAATGCTTAGTTCAAAATTACATCTTTCTTTGCCTGGAAAAAATCACGGTGAATTAGCATCCAGTCTTCCGTCGTAGCTTGAGCAGGTGATGGATGAGTAAATGTGATTTTTTTTCTTTGACAGCCACACAAATAGTGATAGTGCGGCTACGATGTCCATAGTTGCGATCGTATTTGTCTTATGTTATGACTGGTGATGAAGATGTAGTGGCAAATAATTGTTTATCATGGAGTACTAATGAAGATGGCGGTTGCGGAGTAACTATATCATCATCATCTGAGTCGGAATCATACCCTTAGTCCGGTAAATCAGGGTCACTATTATTCACTGTCAGAATTGGGGGAGAAGTCAGAGTCAGATGGATCCTGGTCAGAGTTTTCCGGAGTAGTTGGTGATTTTTGTGTGGTTGTGGGTTCCTGATGCTGTTTTGAATATTTGCGATTAGCTGCATTATTATTGGATGGTATGATAGGAAGTTGTGCAGAAATGTTGTCATCATATGTTATACTTAAATGACGGGGGTGTTCCCAAGAATATAAGTTGGTGACATGTAATACTGAACCATCCCTTACGGATAGGATCACGATCCTAATTCGAATATTGCATATGTGTTTGTTGGGGGGGGGGGGGGAATACGAGATCGAACCCGCTATCTTGAATCCGATTTTGAGAAACAACCTGTTAATTGACAGTGAGGCTTAGGTAGATCATTCTTAATCTAAAAATTATACCTCGATGGATGTGGTACATGCATTATAAAATATTCAGCCAAGATTAGCGGAAATTTGCCATGTTCGAGACATGTAAGGAGATCTTTAGTAGTACTGTGGAGTTAGTTAACGGTTGTGCCACCATCGATGAGTTGTCGACCATCAATAGTGAATTTTACTTTACAGGGCATGCAGGCAAAAATACGCGAGCAAAAAAACGAAACGGAAGGTAATGAGATTCAGATTTATTGATCACAGGCTTGGAATATACCTTAGCGTTATGACATTTAATTGTACATATAGAGGAAGTGAGAGATCCAGTATCGGATGTAGAGCTGCAGTGAGATGGGCTGCCACAGCGGCCGCAGCTAGTATGGCACTGGTGAGCGTTGTGGGCTGTTTGCTCTCATATAGAGCAAGAAGGTAGATCTTTTTTACTATCACGCTAACATTTCCGAGTACGAGTACCATTGGATTCATAGAATTCTTGGATACTACGCGTTGAAATGTATTGAGACATTTGAGAAGTTCAGCATAGATCGGCTGTATTAGTACGACCACGACAACGCACAAAAGATACAGTGGTTTGATTGTGAGCGTTTGGATCCGCTTGCTGCTAAATTTAAATATCTCCGCAAAGATGAAGTGGAGTGAAAATGATGTGATCGTGAGAAACAATGAATTGACGAACTTTGTCTTTGGAGGCTTGGTCAAAATCAGAAAGGAAGGAAACCTGTATTAAGGCATTGCAAAGAATGTTGCCCTAACGAGCGGTGGTCCGTTTGAGTTTAATCCAGTGAGTAGCCCATTGACGCATCGATTTATCAACAGCATTTTGAAAGGATTCAAAATAGGCTAAAT